GCACGAGCTGGCGGAGCAGAGTGGGTTGGGGCCGGGTCAATCCACTTCCTACTGCCCGGTGAGTGCAGGGCGGGCTAGACCCCACACTCATGGGGCGGCGGGAAGTGAAGAGACCCGGCCCCAGCCCTCTCCACTCTGCTACCCTGGCTCCCAGCCTTGGGGCTTGGGGGGAAACGGCCCCCCAGCACTCACTGGTGGCGCGGCTGGGAGCCGGAGGCACGGAGCAAGCTGGGGCTAGGTCGCTCCACTTACAGCCACCCGGTGAGTGTAGGGCACCCAACCCCTGCTGCAGTCCTCAGGGGAAGGGGTGGAGTTGGGGTAGCACTGGGGCAGAGCAGGGGTGGGAAGAAGCGGGGCTGGGGTAAATCAGGGACGGGGGCAATGGGGACGAGGCGGAGCAGGGACTGGAGCAGCACGCAGCTGTGTAGGGCACCAGGAAATTTGGTGCCCCAAATTTCCTGGTGCCCTACGCAGCTGCATATTTTGCCCTGCACATCACTTACTCTGGTCATCACATGCCACAATCAGTGGGACTTGTGACCAGTTCCAACTTATGGGAGTATGAGTCGGGATTTCTAGGATTAAGCCTTGTTTACCTAATGTTAGTAAACAACGATGTCATTGTCAGATAGAAGGTGCTCTATAAGTGAAAAGTATTTATAATACTTACATTATAAAATTATACTACTTGGCAAAATCTTGGAACTTGTAGGATAAAAGCTGAAAAAAACTTTAAAATGAATGCATTTTGAAAAAGAAAAATACGTTATAAAATGCAACCTGCACAGCAAAAACAGTAATAATTAGATGTTGCAGTTTGCTACTTGTATTTGTCTGTATTTACTTTTGTACGTATATGATTTAGGTACATCTAGGTCATGCCCTAGATATTGTCCTTCCAAAAAATGTGTGCCACATAGGTTTAAGATCACCGTACTTTAAGCCATGCAGCTAGGTATTTATGTTAATGTATTTGTTTACTTCCTTTCAAAAGAATAAAAAAATTGAATGTTTGAAGAATAGAAAAAAGACAAGAATCTCTGTTTAGCTAGAGACAATAAAGATAAGTGCAAAGTAATTCATTTAGGAAGGAAAAATCAAATGCACAACCACAAAATGGGAAAGAACTGGCTAAGTGATGGTACTGCTGAAAAGGATCTGGAGGTTACAGTGGATCACAAATATAATGAGTCAACAATGTGATGCAGATGTGGAAAAGGCTAATATCACTCTGGGATGTATTACCAGGAGTGTCCTATGTAAGACACAGGAGGTAGTTGTCACACTCCACTTGACATTGGTGAGGCCTCAACAGGAGTGTTGTGTCCAGTTCTGGGTGCTACACGTTAGGAAAGATGTGGACAAATTGGAGAGAGGCCAGAGGAGAGCAACAAAAATGATAAGTTTTAGAAAACCTGAGCTTCGCAGAAAAAAAACCTGGGCGTGTTTAGTCTTTAGAAAAGAAGAGTGAGGGGGTGACCTGATAAGTCTTCAAATGTGTTAAGGACCATTATAAGGAGAACTTTGATTAATTGTTCTCCATGTCCACTGAAGGCAGGACAAAAGGTAATGGGCTTAATCTACAACAAGGGAGATTTCAGTTAGCTATTAGGATCAACTTTTTACCTATAAGGATTGGAGGTTTTTAAGAACAGGTAGGACAAGTGCCTTTTGGGGATGGTCTACTTGGTCCTGCCTCAATTCAGGGGGCTGGACTTCATGACCTCTCGAGGTCCTACAGTCCTACATTTCTATGGTTCTATGATGATTGTATCTTCAGTATTTAGGGCCTCATCCAGCACCCACTAAAGCCAATGGGAGTCTTTCCAGACTTTAATAGAGTTCGGCTGGACCTTCATTACAGTTGCCACTGCCAGGGCCAGCTCCAGGTTTTTTGCCGCTCCAAGCAAAAAAAAAGAAAAGAAAAAGGGCCTTGAACGCTGGTGCCTAAAGCCGCCCTGGCCACTGCCATTGTATCTCATTGCTGTGCTTAACAAGACTAGATATTTTTCCCTGATCTCATTATATTACTGAAAGCCACCTGTTGGGAAGCCTTCCAGCCTTCTGTCATGTAGAGCACACAAAAAATATATTTCCCAAACCTTTCAGTTGTTTCCACAGATCAGATAGGGACTTTTGTGTGAGACAGCTGAGAGCTTAGAGGACAATCTGGCTATTGTACAAATGATCCCAACAAGTGTTAATCCTCTTTTAATACCTTCTGCATCACTCTAAATTATATGCCTCTCAAATGGATTTCAGCGTGACATCTAAAAGGCACCTTTTTTTACTGTAGGTAAATTTAGACTTGGATTGTTCGTTTAAAAGGCACCTCTATTATTTGTAACATGTTCTTTGTCTTGTAAATCATTTAAACTTTTATTTTTTCTCAGGCTGCCTGGAAGCAGCTTGTGGGAGAATGCAATCTGGTCGAGAATCCCAGAGTTGGATTAATAAGTGTAATGGTTGCTGCTAATTAACATTATCTCCTGAAGAAATAGCCCATCTTAACATAGATCTAGAAAGTAACTTTCTATTTTAGCTAACACTTTCTTGTTCCAACAGTGTCTTTAAGCCTTTGTTTAGAAATTACTTTTGCTAAACAAATCCTAAAGAGCACATTGTACTGAATCTCTTATGAGGCCTTTTCCAGAATTTAAGCCTTCATTTATCAGAGCAAGCAAACAGACATTGGAAAGAGTCACGTGTACTGAAACCACAGGAGGAGGCGCATTGAAAAGAGAAATCAAATTGGTGTTTGGTCGGGAAAAATACTTAAGTTAATGTGGACTGTGACTCACTCATTGAGTTTTGTGACTTCCAAGAGCCTTATGGGCAATGACCCAAGAACAGGTTTGCCTATGAGTTCTGCAGAGGAATGTTATTAGCTAAATGATATAGAAATATGTTCTAATATAGTTTTTAAAAAATCACACCGTATTTAAAATTATTCCTTTAGGGACTGATCCAAAGCCTTTGAAAATCAATGCCAGTCTTTATGTTGATTTAAAGAAT